TCTGACCACGACTTGATCTACACGAAGGACACTGCTCATGAGGAGCAAGTGGAGAGCGAGGAAGCCCATGAGTACATCCAGCGGAGGGTACAGAAAGCCCATGAGCTGGTCCAGCTGGAGTCCCAGCTCAGAGACCAGAGGATGGAGGGGATCAGAAGTGCCTGTGAAGAGGAGCGGCAGAGACCACCAGGATTGGTTTCTGGACCCAAGAAGTTGTCTCCGGGGGTGAATGACAAAAATCACTTTATTTCACCACCAGTAGCTGATGCACATGAAAAAGACAAATTTATTGACTTTACAGAGGATGAGGAGGTCCAGGTACTTGATGTCAGCTCCAAAATGACAACTCTAACTATTGATGACTCGAGTGAGCAGAAACTGCCACAAGATGTGTCAACTATAGAGACAGAGCTGCTTAATACCCGCAAGGCAGCAGAACAAGGTGATATACAAGAATCTGAGCAAAATCCCGAATCCATCATTATGCTATCATCCCCTGCACTTGAGAAAGAGAGTCGGAGCCTCCAAGAGAAACAGCATTCCCATGTACATTCAGACAGCTTGGCTAAGGCAGGGAATGACCTGTCTGGGCATCATCAGCATTCCTCCAACGAGTCTGGCATAGCTGACAATCCTGAAAGGGATGCAGAAATGTCAGTTCAGGTACTTGACCCGCACATTGCCCTGGGGACAGAGCAGAAGGACGTTCCTGAGGCAGCTTCCACTTCTGCAGTGCTGAGCTTATCAAATGTCACACCAGAAATCCATGGTGGGCTCTGCAAGTCTCGTGTGCTGGAAGACAATTTGGAGGACACATCTGTGCTTTCTCTCCAGGATCAAGTTGACTTCAATCTGGTCTTGGAAGAGTCTGAAGAGGGATGGAAGGATGCCTCAAATAGGGAAGGGTCAGTGGAACACCCCAACGAGAGCTTCCAACTCCAGGCAGAAAGTTTGTGTCAATCTCCAACCAAAGAATCTCCAAACAAAAGTCAGCTGAGTGAGAACAGTAACCGTGGCAAACCCTGTCCCGCAGATGAGGAAGAGCCAAATGCCTCCCTGCAAGGGAGTGAAGCATTGGAGGAAAGCAGTGGTCTCTTTACTTTTAATAGGAGGAAATGCTTAAACAGAATTGCTTCAGACAGCGAGAGTGAAGAGCAGCCTGAACAAATTCCCTCCTCTCCCCTGGACAGCCTTGGGCACCAACTTCTGGAAGGAATTAGCGCGTCCACCCCTAAATGTGACAGAGGCAGGGCTAGAGCCATCTTTTCTCCTCAACTAAGTAACAGTGGTAGCAGGTCTAATGCTTCCAGGCGCTCATTCATCAACAACGTAGTAGATGAGGTGGAGGATATTGGGGAAATCATGGAAACCACCGGTGAAGAAGGTGATGATGACACTGATGAGGAGCAAGACAAGCTTGTGGAAGAAGAAGCTGAGGAATGTACTGGGGAATCTGCTGAGACTGAAGAAGAACCTACTGGAGAAACACTTGATACAGGTGAAGAGTCCTCCCATGTAGATAGTGAGGAATCTGAGCAGTCCGAGGCGGAGGAGACGGAGTCATCTCAGGAGGAATCCACTGGTGACCCTGAGCTCCAGTCGGGTGAGCAGATTGACTACTTCACCCAGGAAAGCAGCTCCAAAAAGGAGGTTGGTCAGAATTCCTCTCCTGCTGTGGGAGATTACGACACCTTGGTGTACAGTGGGAAGAAATTTCAGAATGATGGGAAACTCCAGGAGGCATTGGACTGCTTCCTGCAAGCTCTTGACATAAAAAGTGGAGATCCTGAAGTTATGCTTCTGACTCTAAACTTGTACAGACAGCTGTCACAGAAGTGAAGGGTGTGAGCACAGTCTGGCTGTTCCTCGTTGACACGTGTCTGCACCATGGCACCAGGATCCCTGAGCCAGCTCCAGGCTGGTGCCTCCCATTCACTCATGTGACTGAGCAAACTCAGCATCTCCTCTGTGAGGAAACAGTCCAAGAATCCAGGTGTTGGATGCTGGGGAGGGAACTTCACTGTGGAGTCAGCTCACAAAGGTGAAAATAGCTCATGTTTCTGTCTGGTTATTTAATAAAAAGATGTTGTTGATGTCTAAACCCCTCTCTAAGCTGGCAGCTCTGGCTTCACCCTTTGCCCCTCCAGGTTCTGTCACTCCTCTCCCCTGAGAGGATGGGGACAGTGTGGTTCCATGGCCACTGCACAGCCCAGCCTCGGGCTGATGTGATTGCTCCCTCCTTCTTGTCTTGAAATAAGCCAACTTGGGTGCCTGAATGTCACCCACAATTTGTGTGAGCTGGATGCTGGTGCAAAGGAGAGAACAGCTCTTGCAGCCTGGTTGTAAGGTGGTCTGAGAATGGATTGGCTGTGGAGGAGTTTAAAAGATTTAAAAGCTGTTTGCTGCTCTAATTTCTCCAAACAGTGGAGGAAGTGGAGCAGAGGAGGCCAGCACAGCATCTGCTTGGCACCAGGTGTAACACCCAGTGTGGTAGTGCAGGAGCCCTTCTGAACCCCCTGACAGGTGTGTATGTGTGGGTGGGGGGCTGTGGGGCTAGAACTCCAAAGAAAGCAGGAGGGGATACTGGATTTAACTGCTTTTTTTGGTAAGGAAATCCTCTAACCCTCTCCCCACACACAGCTGAACTCTGTTAGAGGAAGTATCTCTCAGGTCCTGTAGGCACAATGAAGCTATGAAGAGGGTTTGTAGTTCACAGAATCACAGGGTCATGGAATGGTTTGGGTTGGGAGGGACCTTAAAGACCTTCCAGTGCCCTGCCATGGGCAGGGACACCTTCCACTAGCCCAGGTTGCTCCAAGCCCCATCCAACCTGGCCTTGAACACTTCCAGGGATGGGGCAGCCACAGCTTCTCTGGGCAACCTCTGCCAGGGCCTCCCCACCCTAACAGGGAAGAATTTATCCCTAATATCCCATCTAACCCTGCCGTCTGTCAGTCTGAACACATTTCTGCTTGTCCTGTCACTCCAGTTCCTGAGGAAGAGTCCCTCTCCAGCTTCCCTGTAGGCCCCTTCACAGACTGGAAGGTGCTGTGAGGTCTCCACACAACCGTCTCTTCTCCAGGCTGAACAGTCCCAACTCTCTCAGCCTGTCTCCATAGGGCAGGTGGTCCACTCCTCTTACCAGCTTTGTGGCCTCCTCTGCACTTGTTCCAACAGTTCCACATCCTTCTTATGTTGGGGGCACCAGAACTGGACACAGTATTCCAGGTGGGGTCTCAGGAGAGTAGAGCAGAGAGGGAGAATCCTCTGCTTCACCTGCTGCCTACTCTCCTTTGGATGTGTTCCCAGGACATGGGGGGTTTCTGGGCTGTGAGCACTCACTGCTGGCTCAGGGTGAGTTTTTCATCAAACATCACCCCCAAGCCCTCCTCCCAGGGCTGCTCTCAACCCCTTCTCTGCCCAACCTGCAGGTGTGCCTGGGACTGCACTGTACTTCGCTTTGTTGAACCTCATGAGGTTTGCACAGTCCCACTTCTCCAGCCTGTCCAGGTCCCTCTGGATCCATCCCTCCCCTTCAGCACGTGACTGCACCACACAGCTCGGTGTTGTCAGCGAGCTGGCTGAGGGTACCTTGATCCCATGAACCAGCAGCTCAGAACCCCCCAGTTCTGGCTTTCAGTGACGCTCTGCCCCCCTGCCCCTCACTGACAGAACCTGGGCCTGGTGTGCACATCACAGGGACTGACTCCTGCCAGTCTCACCTGGTGACAACACAGCAGTGGATTTGGATGTTTCCTTGTGCCACATGCATGTTTAGTGGCTGGCACAGCTGCCTGCTGTGACACCGTGTGATAGCACAGGACACTTCACACCTGGCTGAGCTGTGCAGTTTTGGGAGAGGAATCCTTTGTATCAGGAGCCACAACAAACACAAAACTAATCCTGCTGGTGCAGAAGCTGTGCCAATGTGCTTTTGCTAACAGAGAGAACAAAGCTCTAGCAACCTGGAAACAAGTGGTTTATTAATGGAGCACCATTAAATGGGGCCATTTCTGCTCTGGGCAGCATTCATATCAAAATATTAATGAAGTGCAGCTTTGCAGTCATTTGTTGGCCTCTGAGCTTTCCATGCTCTGAGCAAACCAGCACCCTAAAAGGGGAGAAGGACCTGCCTGGGTTTCACCTCACCTCTTCCTTCTGTGGGATCTTGGGAAGGGCATTTTGTTCTCTCTGATGTTTCCTCCTCATGTCCGAGCTCTGTGCAGTGCTCACCTGTGAACAAAGCCAGTGCCTATTGCTGGAGCTGTGGCTGCTTTGGGGGCTCTGTGGGCAGGAAGGGGATCATGGCACTGGGATATATCCCTGACATGGCAGGAACCTGCTGGGCTGCCCCACCTGCACCCCATGCCCAGTGTAGGGGGGCGCAGGAAGCGGGACACAAGCACTGAGTGGCTTTTTTCTTATTCAAACCTGAGTCATTCCATTTCTTTCCCCAGCTTTGAGTGAGTAAGGTGTAGCTTTAGGTACAGGTCAGTCTGTGCTCAGGAGAGCTCCTCCTTCCCTCCTTCCCCCAGTTCTCTTCCCTGCTGCTGCCTGGCCTGACCCACTGCCAGGGGCCAGCCCTGGTGTCACGCAGCCTCTGTCAGAGGGACTATCCCCCAGCCCTGGAGCACAAGCTGTACCATGGGAGCTGTCTGGACCCTCCTGAGGAGGACAGGGATGGAGACCAAGCCCTGGGGACCCCTCTGTCCCTTTCTGCATCATTTCTGTTGTAAGATAAAAGCCTGAGCTTTTCTGCTAACAGACCACTGTCTCCACAATGGGAGAAGCATGAGGCCAGCCTGCCACACAACACAGACTTCAACAACTGCAAAAGGCTCTTGTTTCACCCTTTCCAGGGACACTTTACCTCTCTAGGCAGGGCCCTGCTCTGCCAGCACGGCGGCAGGGACAGCCTCCAGGCATGCTGCTGGTTGTGCCTGACTTGCTCCAAGGCCAAGGTGTCTGGCAAGCTCTTGGGATTCAAGCAGTCAACAAGGTCACGGTCATTCACATTTTATTTCTTGCCCTCCACCATGATAATGTGGTACCCGAACTTGGTCTTGACCGGAGGGTCTGTGTACACAGGCTTGTCCATGCTGCTCACAGGCAGGGCAAACGCTGCCTCCTGGAATGGTCCCACCATGGAGCCTCTGCTCATCCAGCCCAGGTCCCCCTGCAGGAAGGAACCACCGGGGTTAAGCTTTGAGACTCTCAGTGCAGGGAGGGTGGGCGACGTGGCCGTGGGACAGGACGGCTGTCTGTGCTGGCAGCGGTGACGAGCAGGGCCCGGGCTCCCGCAGGCGCTGCCCGGCCACCCTGCCCTGCCCCGGGTGCGGCACCCACCCCTTGCCTGGCCTTGTCCTCGCTGTACTGCGCCGCCACCTCGCTGAAGCGCTGCCCGGACTTCAGCTTCTCCATGGCCTCCATGGCCCGGCCGTGCTTCTCGCACAGGATGTGCCGGACCTGGGAGGGAGAGCGGAGCGGGGTTGTGGCGAGCGGGACGAGCGCCCGGGTGCTGGGGAGGAGCGGGGAAAACACCCCCGCACCGCCCGGCCCCCGCGCTCACCTTCACGGAGCTGCCGCCTCCCTTCGGGCCCTGCGCTTTGCCCTCGCTGCTGCTGCCGCCGCTGTCGCCGCCTGTGAACGGAGCGCCCTGAGACCGGCCCCGGTCCCGCACCCGTCCCGTCCCGGTGTGGCCCCGGTCCCGCACCCGTCCCGTCCCGGTGTCGCCCCGGCTCCCGGCGGCCCCAGTGCCCCACCTGTCCCGTCCCCGTGTCGCCCCGCTCCCCCCCGCGGCCCGTCCCGGTGCCGCCCCGGCCCCCTCACCCTTGCCGGCTTTGCCGCCTGCCTTTCCACCGCCTTTCCCTTCGGCCCCGCCCCTCCGCCGCCCGCCAGGGCCCGCCCCTCCGCCAGGGCCCCGCCCCTCCGCCAGGGCCCCGCCCCTCCGCCAGGCCCCGCCCCGCCAGGCCCCGCCCCTCCGCCAGGGCCCCGCCCCTCCGCCAGGGCCCCGCCCCTCCGCCAGGGCCCCGCCCCTCCGCCAGGGCCCCGCCCCTCCGCCAGGGCCCCGCCCCTCCGCCAGGGCCCCGCCCTGCCCGTGCCCCCACGGCCGCTCCCGGCGCCGTCCCCAGCGCCCACCCCGGCATGTCCCCCGTGCGCGCTCCGGGCTGTCCCCACCGCCCAGGGTTGCCCCCAGAGCCCCAAGTCCACCCCCGCCACCACCCCCGCCGTTCCCAGCACCCACCCTGGCGTGTCCCCAGACCCCCAATGCCGGGGCTGTCCCTGGCACACTGAGCTGTCCCCTCACCCATCCCACCTGCCCCCGGGAAAAAAAAGTCCATCCCCAGCCCCTCACACCATCCCCAGCCCCCACCGCGGCCTGTCCCCAACACCCCCCAGTGTCCCTGCGCCCCCTCCCAAAACCACTGGGGACACACGAGTGTGTTGCAGACACCGTGAGAGACCCCGCGGGTGGGACCGGTGTCCCCTCGGGCCACCCGAGGGGTGTTCATGGCGTTGCCCCCCCTTTCCCCACCCCGCGCCCCTCGGCAGCCCCAGGAAGCACAGGCACACACAGGCAGCAGGGAGCACTTTACCAAGCTGGCGAGATAAAAAGTACAACATTCCATAGTTGGCACCTTGGCGGCCCCTGCCCCGGGGCAGGGCTGTCCCGTCGGCCGGGCTCTTCCCGGGACCCCACTGCCTTCCCAGTGGGACAGCCGCAGCCAGAGGGAGCAGGGAGCGAGTGGCCAGGGACGAGCACTCAGCCAGGAACAGCCCATTCCTCTGGCCACGAAAATGAGGATCTCCATCCCATGGCCATTTTCCATCCCACGGCTGATCTCCATCCAACAGCCTGTCTCCATTCCATGGCCAGTCTCTGTTCCACAGTCGACCCCTGGCCCAGCAGCCAAGATCCACCCTGGCCCATCCAGACATTTCTCCGCAGCAGCATCAGCCACTCCGGCTACCAGCAATGCTGGGGGTATTGCAAGGGGGTCCCTGCCCCATGCTTGCCCCCAGCCCCCTTTGCCGGCTCCATCTCTGGTTTCCTGAGCAGTCATGTGCAAAATGTACCCGTCCCCAGAGCTTCCCAATCCCTGCTCCGGCCCCATCCCGTGTCAGAGCTGTGCCACCGGGCGGGGCCACAGGATGGGGGCAAAGTGTGGACATTCATTAGAGCTTTTTTTTGTGGGCTTTTTCTTTTTTTTTTTCCTGAGTTTCTCAGCCTGGATCTTAATTACAGGCTTAAATCTGCAGCCATGGGAGAGGGAAGGAAGTAATGGGCAAGTACTGGGAGGGAGGGGAGGGGAACCAACTGGAGCCCTTGTGTGGTCAGATCCAGTGTGAGGGTGAGCACAGGGAGGTGTTTGCCCAGGCTGTGCTCCCCGGGGTCCAGAGCCTGGCCCCTCGGAGCAGCAGCTGAAGGGCTGCCTTGGTGCCTCACTGCCACCCAGACCTACACCACTGCTCCCCCGGCACAGAAGGGCTGGAGTGTGCAGAAATAAAGCGGAAATTTCCCTAAACACCCCGTTTCCTTGTCAGCCGCAGCCTGGCCCTTCCTGTTGCTCCGGGTGCGTGGCCGTGCTCATGTTTGGAGCTGGCTTTTCCTCCCCACCCTGCCCTGGTCCCAGTGGCTGTCCCTGCCCTGCTGCCCCTCACCACGGCCTCTGTCACTGGCAGCTGAAGCTCCCATGCTGGAGCCAGGCCAAGAAGAAGCAGCTGGTGGTGAGTGGGAGAAATCCCATCCAGGGACGTGCAAACCCTCCTGTGCACGTGCCCTGGTGCTGTGTGTCCTGCTTGGCCTTGCTTAGCTCCCCAGCAGCTGGCGGGCAAGGTGAGCGGTGAGCAATCCTGGGGGAACCCAGGGATCACTGGGCAGGTGGTGAGCAGTGGGCAACCCTGAAAGGAACCCCGGGAGTCACTGGGGAGGTGGCTCAGGTGACAACCGCCTGGATTCAAGCCACCACCTCAGTAGCATCCCAGGATCTCCGGTAGCTGGGGCAGCAGGAGAAGCTGTTGCAGGGTCCATTAGGTTTAGGGTGGCAGAGCTGGGGATGAACTTCCTTCCCATTTCCTTCCTGTGGTGCAAGGCCCCCCGCATTCCTGTCACCTGCAGTCAGCAGCCAGGTGCAGGGCCCCTGGTGCAGGGAGCTGGTGGGGAGTGGGGCAACTGCTGGAACCTCTGTATGGTGCAGCTGGTGGGGCTGGCAGTGGGGGTGACCCCGGGGTTTGCTTTTGGACTGAGAGCTGAGGAGCTCCAAAATGCAGCATTTTGGGGGCTTTCGAGGGGTGGGGTTTTGGCTTGAGGTGGTGGCGCTGGCCGCAGACGCCGGGTGCCAGTTCCCCGTGTGGCAGGGAGGGTGCTTGGGAAGATGAGGGTGAACCTCCTGTGACTCTTCAAAAGCAACCACAGATCCAGCTGAACCCCTGGCGTCTTTCCAAAGTGCATCTGTGTGTCCAGCCGAACTCAACCAGCGGATCTCTGCATGGGAAACTCAAGGTACAATGTCAAAGGGAAGAGAATCAAACATCACCACCACTGTGCATTAGAAAAGCTGTTTAAAGTACCACATGCCGAAGGGACCAAAGTCTCAAGCTGCTTTGCTGCAGGCACGGGGTGACGCCAGGGGCTGTGGTCCCACTCTGCTTCCTGGGTGGGCATCTTCAATCCCAGGAGCTGGCTCAACCGGGGCCAGTCCCAGCCACCGTGATGCCTCTTCCCTTGTGGGAAGGGCCCAGAGACATGGGGGCTTGGGCTCTAGCTGCTGCCTCTCTGCCAGCAGCTCTCCAAGTAAGAAACAGAAGCAGAACCCCTGGCAGGACACAGGGGCCCCTGGCAGCCAGAACAGCCCCTCACAGCACTCCCTCCACAGCCATCACCACCCCTCCGGCTGGAGGGGCCCCTGCGTGGTCAGGGCTGGCTTCTGGGGCTGTTTGCACTGTCCAGCTCGGGGGCGAACTCTGTGATGACCCTCCGGGCCAGTGGGTTTGTGGTCTTGAGCAGTTCAGCGGCAGATGGCCGGGTACCGGGGCTGGTTTTGCTGCTCTTCTTTTGAAGCAGGGCTTTAAAATCCTCGTTCCTGCTGGAAGACTTCCCGCTGCTGCCCACTGCTGCTGGGGACTCACTGGTCGGGGAGCCTGAAGTCTTTACAGGTGAGTGGGAGGTGGGTCGGCTGCTGAAGGTATCACCAGGTTCTTTCCTGCCCAAGACCTTCCTCTTCGACCTAGGCACCAAAGGGACATGGGTGGGAGCAGCCCTGGACTGGGGTGAAGTCCCACAGCAAGGGGCACAGCGGTGCCCAGAGCTGCCTGTGCCTGCTTCACTGGGGCAAGGTGACAACACAAGCCTGGCAGGTCATGCTCATGGCAGGACCAACCTGGACCCACCCCTGCAAACTGGTGACCCAGCCTGGCTGTGCTGTGAAGCACTCAAGACAGTACCAGCTGGGCTGGTACAGCCCATCAAGGAAAATTGAGGTGTTGTGGTGGGGGGAACGCTGCGCCCGGTGCTGTGACTGTGGCAGGATGCAGTGGGTACAGGGGCTGTGCCCCCCCAGTGCCATGCACCAGCCTTACCTGTGGATCACTGTGAAGAGATCCTCTGTGGTGCGGGATGTCGTGAACACCTCATCATCCTCCTCCACAATGGACTCGGCTGTCTTGTCGCTGGCAAAGCTCTTCTCCTCTGTGCTGGCCTCTGCTGAGCTGCCTGTGGGCGGGCAGGAGAAGATGGCAGTGAGCCCCTTCGCAGCACGGAGGGACACCCCTGTCCCCAGGGTGATCCCACCATAGGGATGGGGAGCCCCTCACCTTGCTCCGAGGCAGGGTCGCTGGCTTGCACGGTGCCCACAGCCTTGGGGGATGGCGGATCCTCAGCGTCGGGGTCGCAGCAGGTGGGGTCAGCGTCCAGGGTGATGATGGGGCTGGGGGTGGGTGGTGGGTCCCCCATGCTGGCTCCCAGCTGTGCTGGGGCTGGCATGAGCGGCAGGTACAGCACGCTGGGCTTTTTGGGCACCGGTGGTGGCACCTTGGCCTTCCTCCTCTCCCTGTTGGCGGCACTGCTCCGCTCTGGCTGCAGCTCCTCCAGGCTGCCCTGTGAGAGCCGCCGGGGTCCTGCCGGGGTCAGGGACAAGGGGGGCTCCCCCAGACCCCTCCTCAGCTCCCCTCTCCGCAGCACCACGAAGCCGTCCTGTGGCAGCACTTTCTCCTTTGCAGCAGTGCCTGGTGGGGACATGGAGGACAGGGGACCCTCCTCCCGCAGAGCTGGGGGTTTGGGCAGGATGCATGGAGGGCGCTTGGCCAGAGGTGGCTTCTCTGCCACAGGCGGCTTCACCTTCCTCTCTGGCCCCGGGCAGGGGCCACGCGCTGGCTCCTCCACATGCTCCGAGCCGTCGGCATTGTCCTCTGGCTCTGAGCGGCTGATGGAGCGGAGGCGGACAGACTGGAGGTCAGATTGTGTCACCACTGGCATGATGGGCATGATGGGACTGGTCTTCTGGGCCAGCTTGGTGCCAAAGGTGGAGTCGGAGTGGTGCCTGCTGACCTTCGTCTTCCCCTTTAGGGAGATCTTCAGCCCTGAGAGGTCGAGGTGGGCAGGTGGAGTCATGGGGAGGTCAAAGGACAGCCTGCCCTTGGGGCTCCTCTCCATGGGGGATATGGGGGGCAGTGAGGACTTCCTTTCAGGGACCAGTGGCCTCACCCGCACCTGGTGCGGGGAGTGTCCGAGTATGGCAGAGGTGGGGACGGTTGGGGTTGGGGTCTCTGACTGACTGGAGTACCCGCTGGATGGGGACATCAGTCCCGTGGGCCTGCCTGGAGAGGAGGTCTTCAGGTCTGCCTCAGCAGAGAGCTGGGAGGGTGTTGTGGCCCTGGAGACGGAAGGGGACACAAGGGACTCGGAGCTGCCCCGTGTCTTGGCGCACTCGATGGCTGTGGTCCCCGTGGTTGTGCTTGAGCTGGAGAGGGATCGGTAGGGATCACTGCCACCCTTCCAGTCTGCGAGATGCCACTGGTGGGGGGCAGCTGTGCTGTCAGGCTCCCTCCCTGCACTCCCCTGAGGGTCAGCATGCACCAAACGGTGGCCCTGGAGCTCTGGTGGGATGCATAGGCTCTTGGGCCGCTGATCCTTGGGCAGCGCTGCAGCGAGCCCCGTGTCATCGTCCTGCCCCTCTTTGATCAGGGAGACGCTGCGCGTGGGCGGCGAGGGCTTCTTCTTGGCCTTCTTCAGGGAGATGCTCTTGGAGCGCCGCCGCCGCTGGCCCTCGGGCTCCAGCCCCAGTGAGATGTTGTCAGTGCTGGTGCTGCCCTCGGAGCTGGCGCTGGGGTAGCCCAGGGCGTAGTTGGCGCTGCCCCGCCGGGTCTCAGCGTACGCAATGTCCATGGAGCAGAGGGACCCCGAGTCCGTGGGCACCGACAGTGACCGCTCACGGAACCGGCACCCTGCCCGCTCCACCTCCAGCCGCATCGGCCCTGCCGCCGGCGCCAGCTCCTCTCGGCTTCCCGGCAAGAAGTTCCCCTTGGCTTCTTGGATGCACCCAGAGGTGAGGGGGGAAGCAGGCACTGGGCCGGAGAAGAAGCTGGGCCCGTTGCTGCCCATGCGTTCTTCCGTGGCGATGAAGAAGGAGGGGGTGGCAGCAGCGGGTGAGCCTGGGCCGGGCGATGGGATGGAGCCACCTGGTGAGGTGCAGGTGGGCCCCTTTCCCAGGCCGGTGGTGGGGCTGGGGGGGCTCCCGTAGCCCAGGGCGCTCCAGGGTGGGGAGAAAGGGGTGCCCTGCATCCCGTTGCAGGTGCTGGCACAGGGGGTGGCTGCCCCATCCATGGCAGCAGGTGGCTGGCAGCAGCGGGCCCCGAGGTCACTGAAGGTCTTCCTCAGCGGGGCCGAGAGGGGCTGGCGGGAGCCGATCTCCTGGGGTGCCGTCCCCCCACTTGTGGCTTCAGGCACAAAGCTGCAGGAGAGGGACTCGGCGATGGGCGCGTGTTTGCTGGATGTGGGGCCGTTGGCACTGCCTGCGAGGAGAGACACAGCCTGGTGAGCATCGTCCTGCCTCACTCTCAGGGTCACAATCCTGCCCTGCATGCCAGGGGCCAGGACTGGTCCTGTGGCCAGTCTCAGGGCTGCATCTCTGCCTAGGCATGAAACATGTTTGGGCAGGTGGGGGGAAGGGGTTGTCACCCTGTTACCAGGTTCTCTCCTCCCATCTATATCAGCATGGCCATAACCCAGCAGGGCTAAACCTCGAGCTGGGATCTGTTATCTTGGATGTGCCATGGACAACTCAGCAGCCATGGCAGGAGGCTCTACCCATGGGATCATCAGCCCCACAGCAACCAAAGTGCTGCTGCGGTGCTGCTCGATGGTGGGGACACAGATGGAGACCAAGAGGAGCCAGGCTAGGCATCGCCAGCTGGGACAGGGAGGGACATGGTGGCTCACAGTGCCACACCATCACAGCACACCTGGGATGGGGAAGGACCCGGGAACCCTGGGGTGGCTCTCAGTGCTACCTCAGCACAGCTGGGATGGGGAAGGAGATGGGGACCCTGCTCCAAGCACCCCCAGCAGACCAGGATTCTCAAGGTTGTGGTGGGCTGAGTCTAACTCCTCCAAGGGAGGAGCCGTGACAACCTGTTGATGGTCTGACTGCTGTCATGGGGAGAAACCTTCCTCCTACTCAGTGATAACTGCCTTGGAGCAGCTGGTGCCATGGTTCCCCCTGTCCCTAGTTGCCTCCAAGGAGAGGCTGGCTCTGATTTTTCTACACCTTCCATAGGGGACAGCAGGACAGAGCCCTTGAGCCACGGTGGCTGCTGTCCCCGTGGGTCCAACGCCAGCCCAGGAGCACTGCAGGCTCCCTCAGCCACACACACCCTCAGCACTGGTGCAGCCAGCTCGCCAGCCCCAGCAAAGACCTGGGCAGGGGTGTGCCCCACAGCCCTGGCACCCTGTGCACAGGGTCTGCCCACACAGGGGAAGGTGGGTGCAGGGCCAGAGCTGCTGAGGCCAAGGCTGGGTGACTCCTGTCTCAGGATTATGACTCGGGGTGAAGGGGCTGTCCCCAGTGCCATGCCAGTGACTCTGCCCCCCCATCAGGGCAGCTCTGGGGGGTGCCAGCCCTGCCTGGGTGCTGCCTGCGTGGTTCTTGCCGTCACCTTGGTCTCGCAGGGACAGGTTAGGGAATCCAATAATGGTCCGTCTACGCCGCAGGGTGGACTTTGGGTTCATCGCGGTCTCTGTGTTAAACAGGGAGTGACGAGCACTCGCGAGCCTAGCAAAGTGCTGCCCTGTAGCCAAAACAAACAGCGGTACACCGCGGTGCTGGGAGCCGCTGCCAGGGCGGGGGCTCTGCCCCCTCCATCACCCATGTCCCCTGCGTGTCCCCAGCCTGGAATGGTGACACAGGCTGGAGCGTGGGATGGCAGGACGGTGTGAGCCATGTGAGGTGAGTGAGGAGATGCTGCAGATGGAGGTGGGATGGATGGAGAGCTGCTGAGACTGGACCCTTGCTGCATGACAGGCACTGGTGAAGCTGGACCCTGCACCACAGCGCTGAGCCACACTGGGCATGTGGACATGAAGCACAGAGAGGAAAGGGACCAGTGTGGCCCCAGCACAGCTCTTCACGATGGAGGGAAAGGGCGGACAGACACCTCTGCCCTTCAGAAGGGGCACCTCACCCAGCCACCAGCCCCAGAGTCTGACCTGGGGCAGAGCATGGCAGCTGTGTCTGCAAGGACCAGGCAGGACCGCACTGCTGGGAGCTGCAGCCCCAAGAGGACAAACAGACGGACAGACAGGTGACAAAGGTGAGACAGGCTGGGTGCATGGTGTGTGACAAGAGCCCAGGTGACAATGGACCTGGCTGGCTGGGCAGCACAAGAGGGATGTGAGATCTGCCAGAAGCATGGCCGGTGGGCCAGACGCACAAAGTTGTGGATGGCATGAGAGATGGCTGGGAATGATGGGTGCCGTCATGGTCCTGCTGTCCCCTCTCTGCCCTGGTGCCCACCTGACCCACAGGGACACAGCTCGCAATCCCAGCCCCCTCCCACCACCCCATACCCCACCCCAGCAGGCTGCTGGGGCACATCTCTGCCCTCACCCTGCGTCCCCCCTGTTGTGCCAAGGGGTGCTACCCTACCCGAGACATTAATGGGGACAATGTTGGTCTGGATGGAGCCAGGCTGGTGCCACTGCTTCTCCTCCACGGGGGGCAGGGGGAAGGCCCTGGGCCAGGGGGGCTGCTTGTCCGGGCTGGTGGGGAGGCTCAGGGAGGCATCAGGGGGGCGAGCGCTGAGGGGGGTGCTACTGGTGCTCTCCTCTTCAGCAGTTCGCCGGCTCGGGGGCTGCAGGGGAAAAGGGAGGGAAAGGCACGTCAGCCACCAAAGGGACAAGGATGGGACACAAATGGGGGCTCGCTGCCCACCCCCATACCCCAGCACTCACCATAAGCACGAACTCAAGACGCTTGGCAGGTGGGGGTCGGGGTGACGGTTCAGGGGGGGTGTCGGGGTGACCAGCGGTGCGGAAGGTCTGCCCAGTGACTCTGCTCTCGGTGTACTGCTCCTCATACTCCTCTGCAAGAAAAACGACAGCTGGGACCCTGCTCTGGCTATCGGCTCCTGTGGCAGGGGGCACGCAAAGAGAGGGGTAACTGGCCCCTCTGGCTGTCCCCAGCCTGGCTGGCCATCCCTGCTCAGGACAGGTAGCTCAGAAGCTGGGGAAGGGAGATCCCAAGGAGGGTCTGGGGGGAGGCTGAAGCAACACAAAGATTCCAGCAGCTGGCCCCACTCCTCCCAGGGGCCTGCCAGGGGATGTGGTGGGTCCTGCTGGGAAGCAGAGCCCCACTGGGGACAGCCAGGAACTCAGTGTGTCCTCATCCTGTAATTGTTGAGCTAATTAATGCTAGTGGCTGTGGACTGGTGGAAAGCAGGGCTGCTCAGGCTGACTTAATGAGATTACAAGCTGGGGGATGGCTGGGCTGCTGATCTCATCGATGCCTGCGGAGCATCGGAGCCAGGGCCGCGTGACGGCCTGGGCCAGAGATTGGAAGAAAACAAAACCACTGGCCACGCTGATCCAGTTAGGCAGATTGGTGGCAGGTCCCTGAGGCCCTCGTGAGCAGAACTGCGCTGTGGTTGGGCTTGTGGGTGACCTGGTGACTCCCGTGGCCTCAGTAGCCCCAGCAGGTAGTCCTGGCCTCAGTTGCTTTGGCACTTGCAGTAGTGATTTGGGAGCAGAGAACAGTGAGGAGCTACCGGAGGCTGGGAACCCTCGGGTTCTGCAGCCCAGTGAGGTCCGAGGAGCGGCTCGGACACGGGCATGGGAGATAAGCTCACTGTTTCATGGGGATCATGTAGCCAGGGCAGCACCCATGCACCACCCTCACCCAGCCCACCCTGGCCCCTCTCCCCGCTACCTTGCAGCAAGCTCTGGAGGTTGAGCTGGGCCTCCTGGTGCAGCTGCTCCATGCCCGGTGGGCGCCCGGCCGCCAGGAAGACGTTCACAGGCTGCTGCCATGGCAGCTTGCCAGGGGCGGCTTTCTTGCTCTCAAGGTCCAGGTTAGAAGTGGCTGCAGGTGGGAGAGAGCACGGTCAGAGGCAGGCAGGTGGGCAGCTTCCCTGCAGGTGCTGCCACTGGATAACACCGCACCGGCACAGCGCTCATCCCACCCTACCTCTGCAGGAACACAGGGACTGGGATCTGGCTGTGTCCCACCCTGGCAGGCTGCTGCCCGCTGGGACCAACCCCCATCACTGCTACCACTTTGGGGGCTGGACACTGCCCTGTTGGGCTGCCAAGAAGGGAGCTGGGTAAAATTGGGGAAGGAAGCCAGCCCTGCCACCCGTGCCAGCCGCACCCGGGCACAGGAAACGCTGCATACTCTGGTGGAGCAACATCCCGGCTGTAGAGGAGCAGAAGTTGCAACTGAAAGGGGGGATCAAGGGGACCTATCGCTTCCATCGCCCTGGGTTCAGGGAGCTTGGGGGTTATGTGCCCTGTCCCCGTGTGGACACCCCTCAACCTCTCCACGGAAGGAAAGCTCCATGGGACTGCCCAGACCCTCTGAAACACCCTTATCGGTGGAAAAGTTCGTGGGAGAAGGATCTGGGCTTGCTGGTGAGCTGGCCCAGTGGGGAGCTGAGCACTGCTCCAGCAAACAGGCTTTGCCATGGGAACGCTGCAGCCCCAGCACTGCCACTCTGAGCGGATGTGGGTTTGCTACCCAGCACAGAGCCAAGGGAGTGCCACCACTGGCACGCTGCCTCTGAGGACATCCACGCCCCGGCCAGGCACAGAGCGAGTCTCTGTGAGCTTTACACAGGGATATGGATGGCCAGAGTCTCATCCCTGGGGATTTAGTGCTGCCTGGTCCCTGGTCCCATCTCCATCAAGTTGAGGTGCTCCAATTACCAGCATATGACCAACAGTTCTCCTCTGCCACCCACAGCGTGGTGCTGCAGAATGCCCATCCCCAGGAACATGCTACTGTCCCACTGCCAAACCCTGCTCTGTGCCAGATCCCAGCCAAGGCAGTACCAGCGATCCCACTCACCTGGGAAGGGGAACAGCCCTTCCCAGGGGCTGGGACCCCCAGCACAAGCCACGTTCCCCTCTGCCTGTGGTGGTCGGGCTGCCATGCCCCCAGCTCACCTGCACTGCATCACGAGCATCCACCCTGCTGTCCCTGGATGCCCTCCTGCCCACAGTGCCCTCCTGCCCCCAAATGCCCTTCTGCCTACTGGGCCCTCTTGGCCATGGTACCATCCTACCCCTAGATGCCCTCCTGTCTACAGTACCCTCCTGCCCCTGGGTGCCCTCTTGCCCACCCTTCCCCCAGCTGATGGAACCCGCACAACACCCGGCACCCCGAAGCAAGGTGCCACGTCCCCAGCCTAGTTACTTTTATAATTTGTGTTTCCATAACGACGGGCCTTAACACCAGGTTTTTTTCCTTTTTTTTTTCTTTCCTTCTTTCTCCTCTAAATAATTTGACTCGTTTCCATATCAACCAAGAGGTGTTGGGGCGCATGTGTGCATGTGTGTGCTGGGCACAAGGCAGGGTTGGGCATCTCCCCAAAAACCTGACCCACATGGTCGGGGACAGGGACCACACCTTCACCTCTGAAGACCCCAGCCCCCCAATCTGCTGTCTTTGGCAAGGCTGGGGATCCACTTCTGCCTCCCTATTTCTGAGCGCACCCCAAGGGTGCACCCCACATCCTGGCTTGCTGCACCCCTCTGCACAGCTCGCACAGCCCCAGCCTTCGGCCTTGGCACAGCTGATGCTCCTCACCTTCTGCCTACACACCCCCCACAGCCACCCCCACTACCCCTGCCACCCCCAAAACAGTTACATGGCGTCCCACCAGGACTTGGGGACACGCAAAGCACAGCCCCCCGCTGCCCCCTCCACGTGCCCGAGCTCCCGCCGCCCTCCCCAGAGTAGAGGAGCTCACCTCTGCACCTCGGCCCTGCCGCCGGGGCACCCCCAGCACCCACCCCCGCGTGCCGACCACGTGGGCAAACCGCGGTGCCGAAACTGGGGGCCGCCCTGGGTGTGGCGGAAGTGTGGCAGCACCCAGAGAGGGAGGGGCCCAGCACCCTGCCCTGCAGCGAGGGCAGCCTCGGCCAGGCAAAGGGGGAACGGGCAGCGACAGGGGTTCCTGTCCCACAGAGCTTCCCCCTCTTTGCCAACACGCACTAGTTTGGGACCGTGAGTGAGGCAGCGCAGCCCTGAGCTGGCACAGCCAGCGGTGCAGGCGTTGCTGAGGTGCTGGCATTGCTGAGGCGTGGGTATCATGGGGTCCATCTCCCCAGCTGGGGAGGAGAAGAGGTGGGGGCAAGGATGGTTGAGCCAAGCATTGTCCTGGCACCCAGGTGCCCAAAGCTTGCACCGCAAGGGCAGCTCCATGCCAGAGTGAGCAGCACTGAGGCTTTGGCTTTGGCTCCCTGGGAGCAGCCACTCCGAAGGTGTTTTGGGAGCAGCCACTCCGAGGGTGTTCTGGAAGCAGCACTCAGAGCCCGGCACCACGCAGCAGCTCAGCGATGGGGAACGAGGAGCCAGCAGCCCTGATCCAGCAGCGCTGTCACCAGTGCTCCCAAGGGATGGGCAGTATTTGAGAGCAGCCTGGTGCAGGATCAGCACAAGGGCAGGTTTGGAGTGTCCATGGAAGCCCATCTGCCACCCCCATCCACAGACATGGGACACCTCAGCCAAGCAGGAGTGTCCAGTGGTAGGACACTGGTGGGAATGGTCCAGCTGAGCTGAGCCGATGTCCTGCCACACTTATCGGTGGCAGGCTCAGAACACAAAATTCCTCTGAGGAGTCCCATCCCTGTGGCAAATGCCTGTGGGAGGTGAATGGCATCCCAGGAGAGCAGAGCCAGAGAGACAGCTCCATCCCACCACCCTCAGTCTTGACCTGAGTCTGCCCAGTCTCACTGTTGAGGGAAACTGAGGCACAGCTGGTAGGGAGGTTCACCTCGCTCCCTGCTGGCACTAGGTCCCCCTTCTGACCCCAGGGCTTGTGCAGAGGAGCAGGCAGCATCCCCTGCTCTGCCTGCAGATGGACATGGGCACAGACAGCATCCATCTGGGATGTTCCCAGAGAGCCAGCACCATCAGCTGCAACGGATGCTGCAGCCTCAGAGTCCTGCTCAGTGTGAGCCAGTGTCCAGGCTTGGGGTGTTGTGGCCATGGCAGGTACACAAGGACCAGGGTTGAATTCCAGGGGAGTTTGCTTTAAGGGAAGCTGAACTGCACCCTCTCCTGCAGAAAAAGTATCCCTGCAGGACCCCCAGCCCCTCAGCACTTCCCGAGTCACCGCCGCTCCACACCAGCATCCCTACTCACCCACAGCCCAGGCATCCCGAATCCACAGGGAGATATTTGACAGTGCCATCGGAGCTGTTTCAATCCAGGCTGAAGCTCCCGTGAGACGGCGCCTCTCGCTCAAATTCACCACCAAACTTTTCCCTCTCAGGCTCGCTCCCCACGCACAGGAGAGTCTGGGGACGCGGCTGGAGCGGCTGGAGCTGCTCGGACCCTCTCTGCCAGCGCGGAGCTATGGCAGGAATGATGTAATGGCAGCAGCGGGCGATGCGCCATCAGCAGAGCAGCCATGGCAACGGATACGGGCACAGCGGCAAGCGCCGCCGGTCCGGAGCACCGAGCACGCCAGAGGGCGAGGGTGGTGAACCTGGGGGCCGAGACTGATCCTGACAGCTCCTCAACCCACCGTCCGGAGCCGCTGTGCCACAGTGCCGGTACCTTGTACCGCTGGCTACAAGCAAGCGCCGCGACCCGCCGCCAGCACCAGACTGCTCACTGCCAACGCGTGCGGCTTGGTGACATTCCCGTGGTATGCAGCCAAACTCATGCTGCTCCACGGCAAGCGGAGAGGAAGGGAAAAGAGCAAACAGTGGGAGCTGGCAGCGGACGCAGAAACGCCTCCTGTCCCAAGCTCACCCCCCACCGAACCGGACCCGCCGGGCCAGCTCCCTGCGGGATGTGGAGCGGCATCCGTGTGCACGGTAGCTCCGGGGCCGGATGCCCACCCAGGTCTGAACGATGTCCCAAAGTAACACCCCACTGACACCCCCAGGCTTGGTGTGACAAGGCAGTAGTGCTCACCAGGCAAGTGCTCACACACACCGTGCTCAGGACGAGCCCTTGTTGGGACAGCCAACAGACTGTGCCCTGTCCAAATCCAACCCTCCCCAGGACACTGTCCCTCCATCACATCTCTGGTGGCACAGCTCCGAGCCCCTGGTGAGGCAGAGCCACCTGCACAGATGTCTGACCCACTGGTGGTTGAGCCCAGAAGAACTAGAAGCCTTTCTGGGGTGCCCATGCCCAACCCTCCAGTGTGGCCATACTGGGACCCTGGTGTTGCTCTGCTCAGCACATCCATGTGCTCCTGCAGAGGTGCCCAGCAGGACTGCAGGCACTGAGGAATGACACTGTCTTGACACACCAGATCTGCTGGAGGCTTTTGGCTCTTCCATGCTCCCTGTTTAACATGAAATCAGCTGATTTTTGTACTGATGGGAGATAAGGGTGCTGCAGAAGTTGCTGGCAGCAGAGGGGTGGGTTTGGCAGCTGTGGGGGTCCCTCAGCTCATGGGGAGAATGTTGGATTATGTGAGAGGTTTCTATGAAAACCAATAGCAGCAAAACAGTCAATAACATCACTGTGCATCAGTAGGGCTCGGAGTTAACAGTGTGCTAGGACACTCTGCCCTGGGTACATTTGGTCCCAGCAGCACAAGATGGGCCCCGGTCAGGGAGTTTTGGCGGGAGGGGAGGTGCATGTGCTGCAGGAAGATTTGGCTGATGAGGCTTGTCCAGGAGGAGCTTGGTGTGCCATCCACCTGTGCCGTGGGGATGGGAACTGCCTGCAGCCGCGCTGGCAGCAGGGCTTGGCCTGGGACCGTGACTGGCCAAGGTGGACTCAGGCTGCTCCCTGCCAAGGCGCCGAGATCCACTGCTCCCGAGGGTGGAGCAGCAGCACTGGGGTGGGGGCTGGAGCTCCAGAGCCTGGCTGGACCCAGATCCCTGCACCAAGCCCTCCACCATGGGCAGCAAGACCAGCCCTTGGAGCCCTCTTCCAGTCCCGCCACACCTCCCTGGCAGCCTGGCATCCTCCTCATACTGTGACCCTCACTCTCTCATGCTTCCCAGCAAAAATCCAGACACAAATCTTTCCTGAGAGCCTCAGGAAACCTGACAAGACAACCTGTCAGCCCCAGCCAGTCCTGTCACCCTGGCATCACTGCATCACAGCCAAGGGCACTGCCAGGCACAGGGTGGCCATGGCCAGCTGCCTGCCAGCCTTCCTACAGTGATGTCTCCAGCCTGGCCAGGACTATTTGGTGGCACATGGATGCCCAGGCAGTGCTCACCACTCTGCCCGGCGGGCAGGCTGCCTGTGCCAGAGAGGCTGCTTCCAGAGGGGTGCTTCCAGGAAAGCGCTGCTTCCCCTGTGCCTGGCTGGTTTTACACTCTGCGGGACTGGGACAATGCGAGGAAGTCGCCTGAGAGGGGAATGTGGCCAGAGGCCCCGGGACAAAGGGGCCTGAGACCTGAAATCAGCCACAGCACAAGAGATAGCAGTCACAGAATTGAGGGTCCTGAGTGGCTGTGATGTTTGTGTTGACCCACAGTCCTCAGTCCTGCTACCACCAGCATGTGGGAGCTGCCAGGAGGGCACAGTGCCACAGAGACAGGCAGGATCTATCCCCACAGGACTGAGGAGTGCTCAGTGGGACATGCGGGCTAAGAGTCTCCATCTTTCTCTTGCTTTGTCAGAGCAAAGACACCCCACCAGGCTGGGTGGGGAACGGCAGAAGGATTTAAAAGGGACAGGGACATACTCCAGGTCAGGCTGGGGAAGGCGGGACAAGACTGATACTGCTGGGCAGCACTGACCCTGGGGCTATTGCATGGCCTCTAGAGGATCTGTGCCCAACGGCTGCCCCCAGCCCCGGGTCCTGCCCTGCAGAGCGAGCAGTGCCTGCCGACCCCACCGCCCCACTGCCCTCCCCAGCCCTGCCCTGCTGCCCACCTTACCTGCCCGGTGCCAGGGTGCCAGGAGCCACTCCACCTTGGCCATGGCTGCGGGCGCCAGGGGAGGCTGCTCCCTCCGGCCGCCCGGGAGCTGCTGCCTCAAAACCAGTCTGAGAGCACTGAGCTTCCCCTGCGTCCCCGCCGCCCCAGCTCCGGCGGGGAAAGGAAGCGACCAGGAACTGGTTGTTTGAGTCAGCGCCACAACCCATTGTCCCGGCCCCGGCCCCTCTTCCTTCCCCGGGGAGGGATGGCAGAGGGACCGTGGCTCTGCACAGCCCGTCACCGTCACAGAGACTAAACATCTCCAGCCATGGCTGGAGCAGCAACCGGCACCATCCAAAAGAGGTGGTGGGTCCCTGGGGGGACACAGTGCATGGGGGCTTGTCCTCCTGACAGAGCACAATCGTTCCTACATGGAGCAGCTGCAAGCATCCTCACCTGGAAACCAGCACCCGGAGCCTGATGCTGCCCCCTGGCCCGGCTGAGCCACTGCCCCCCAGCCTCCCAGTCCTTATAGCTAACAAAACCAGGGGTCCTTCTGGATCCAACTGGCTTTGCCCTGGGAGCTGCCAGAGCTTCCTCTCACTTCGGCGCCTTCCAAAGCCTGGAGCAAAGGCTCCTCGGGGACCACTTTCCCGGTGCCCCAGGGCTTTGTAAAGCTGAGCTGGCTTCTCCCAGAGGATGAAGGTCCCTGGGAGCCAGGGCTGTGGCAGACCCGGGAATGCAGCCCCAAGCCCTGGTTTCCTGCAGGAAGAGGCTTTGGAGCCATAGGAGCAGCATGTGGAGCATGTGCCTTGCCAGGGGCTGGTGCCACCCCTCCTGTGCCAGGCACCCAGCGATGCCGCAGACCGAAATGTCGGGATGGGTGACGGATGGCAGATACCAGCAGAGCTCATTTCCCACTGGCAAACCAGGCACATGGCTATGATGGATGGGGGGACAAGGAGACCTGCCCCCATGGCCATGGCTTCTCTGGGACCCCATCCCACAGATGTAGCGCCAGTAAAGACAGATGCAGTAACTGGAGAGCTGCCTCCCAGCCCACCAGCCCACGAGGCAGAGACCCAAAAACTCATCACAGTAGTGTCAGCAGCCCACGAGCATGCTGCCTGCTCCAAGAGGCCCCTCCAAACGCTACTGTGCACACAAGCCAGTGGCTGTGGCTCGGCCCACTTGGTTCCTCTGGCACATGAAGAAAGGGTGCAGGTGGCTGTGAGCCCCCACCAGTGCCACAGGAGCTACAGAGATGAGTACTGGCCAAGAGGGCAGAGCGAGGGGTCACTTGCCCCAGACTGATCCAGCCATTCCCAGCCTCACAGGCCCTGAGGAAGTCTGGATTCTGGATCCCCAATGCAGAGTAAGGCCCCTCTGCACACTCTCCTGTGCACAGGGCAGAAGGATGACCCTGCCTGAGGTTAGACAAGGTGCATCCCAGTACAGTGGGTCCTGGCCCTGCTCTCCTGCTGGCACATCCCACCCCACCAGTGACTCAGACCCACCACAGGGCTGCTCCTTATGGAGCCTCAGTTCCCTCCCCTTGGCAGATAAGCTCCAGCCTGGACCTGCCACCGCCTCTCAACAAAGAAGCCTGCATGGAGCTGCTCAGGAATGCCCCAGCCACTGAGGTCCCAGAAGCCCCAGCAGCACCCAAGCATTTGCCCCAGCTTTACACAAGACGAGTTTCAAGCTATCCAGTGCCAAATCCCATTCCTTCCTGCTTCCAACAGCCAGGCACAGGTCTCCCCAGAGAGGCCAGGCACCAGAGGGAGATCTGCTGGAGATCTCCAGGGTGACCTGCGCCTGAGGACAGAGATGAACCAGCTCAGGTGCAGGGGCTGGCCCCGCAACCCCCCTTGGGCCCTTCCCACAGCTCCAAGAATTCCTTTGATGATAATGAAGTGTGATTAGCTCCGGTACGATTAGCTCCAGACCCCCTCGGAGCTACAGCAGCACTGGGTGGGAGGGACAGGCAGGGAGCAGGCCAGCATCCCGTGGTCCAGGTACCACATCCCTCATTCCTCACAGCTCAGCATCCCTCACTCCTCCAACCCACGGCTCAGCATCCCTCCTGATCCCCTTCTGTGCAACCCGCAGCTCTTGTGCCCCGTTTCAGAGCTTCGCACCCACCGCTACAACAGCGGTTGCAAAATTAGACAGCGTCAGGCTGTGCTGCCACCCCCTCTGCCCGCTGATTATTAAGCTGTGACAGTCACTTGCGCTGTGACAACCAGTCCTCATTTTCCTGCAGTTTCTAAGCAATCTTCCTGAGGTCTCTCCCAGGACTGGCAGCTCCCTGTCTTTGCCCATTCCACTGTGTCCTGCTCCCAAGCCAGCAGGCAGGGAAAGGGCAGCAGGAGCTAGAGCCAGCAGGGCCTGGCACGCTGCACTCCAGGGCTCCAGGACTCTGACGGGCCTGGCGCCAGGAGCCAGGGCAGACCCCAGCTCCCAGCTCTTCTGGCATTCCCAGGAGCTGGGCTGGGAGGAGAGCTGGAGAGTGTCTGGGAAGGGTTGCTGAACTGCCTGGGCTAGCTAGGTGGGGACAAAGGAGTGACCGGACAGGTCCTGCTTGTCTGACCCAGCTTCCTCAGAGGGCACCTGCCCTCGCTGCCCACTCCCAGCTCCGAGCAAACCCTCTGTACCCTTTGCTTCCCCCACAACATACTCCCTGTGGAGCTGAAAGGCTGTCCGCCTCCCCAAGATCGTTTGTGGTATGAGAACCCCCAGACACCCACTACCTCTGCGATGCGTGGGAGAAGGGAGCTGGGGTGCGGGGGCTACACAGGCACTGGGCTTGCTGCCTGAGGGGGGGCAGCTCCGGGGACAGCAAGTGCAGGAGCTCCCCGTTGCCAGGGCTGGCACCCCATGCCCTGGGGCTGGATGCCCGTGCCCAGGGCTGGCTCCCCATTGCCTGGGGGGAGCCTCCACACCTTGGGGCTGGTTCCCCACCGCTCAGAGCTGGCTCCCCGCTGCCTAGGGATGGCTCCCTGTCGTTATAGCTGGTTGCCCACTGCTTGGGGCTGGCTCCCCGCAACCCGCGGCCGGCTCCTCGGGGAGCACCTGTCCCACACGCCGGGGGACCGCGGTGGTGCCCCACCGCCAGCCCCCATCCCACGCCGTTCCCGCCAGGAGGCCAAGCCTCGGCCGGGGTGACCTCTGCCCGTGTCCTCCAAGCGACCCACCGGAGAGCGCGGGAGCGGGGGAGCGAGGGGTGCCGAGCGCCAGCCCGAGCCGAGCCTGAGCCGCCCCCTCCCCGCCGCCGCAGTCCGCGGGTCGCGGTGCTCGTGGTGGGGGGCGGCGGGGGGCGCGGGTCCGGTCCCGCCCCGCCCGTGCCGGTACCTGTTGCCGAGCGCATCCTGCCCCGCCGCTGGCTGCGCGGCCCCTTCCGCTGCGCGTTGCCCATCCTCCGCCGCCGCCCGGCCCGGGCTCCGCGCGCCGCCGCCCCCGGGCCGCCCCCCGGCCGCCCCCCGCCGGGCCCGCCGCGCCGCGCGGGGAGGAGCCGCGGGGCCGGGCCGGGCCGGGCCGCATCGCTCCGCTCCGCGCCGCTCCGAGCCGAGCTGAGCCGAGCCGGGCGGCACCGGCACCCGCAGCGGCCCCCGCCTCGCCGCCCCCTCGGAGCCGAACGGGCGCCCAATGGCGGCGGCTGCGGGGGCCGGGCGTGGGCGGCGCGGGGATGGGGAGTACCGGGGTGATGGGGATGGGGTGCAGAGGGGCTGGGTGCCCCCGGAGTGATGTGGGGGCTTTTGGGGCTGCGGAGGACCAAGGGGATGGGGATGGGAGGCACCGGCGCTGGGCACCCCCTGGGGCAATGGGGATGGGGGTGACACTGGGGCTGGGCAAGCCCCGGAGAGATGGGGATGGGGGTGACACCGGGGCTGGGCAACTCCCGGGGAGATGGGGATGTGGGATACCAGGGTGACGGTGGGAAGGTACCAGGGCTGGGCACCCTCGGAGCAATAGTGTGGGGATATCAGGGTGACTGCACTGGGTTGGGAGTCCTAGGGCTGGGCAGCCCCCGGGGCGATGGGGCTGTGTGGGAGGTCCTGGGGCTGGGCATCCCAGGGTGTTGGGGCTGGGGCTGAGCCTGGGTGGGGGTCCCAATGCTGGCCCTGTGGGGTGGGTGGCTGAGCAGGGGATGGATGGAGGCAAGGGGTCAGAGACCTCTGCCAGGAGGTAGAGGCCATCTCTGAGAGCAGCTGGAGCTGTGCACAGTGGGAGAGAGGAGGTGTGGGGAGAGCTTTGGAGCTGGGTCCCATCAGGAACCCTGTGTGAGAGCCACAGGACGCTGCAAGAGCCAGGCATGGGGCTGACAAGGTATCAGGTAGGAAAAGCAGGAGGGTGCCTTATCTCCCAGCACCTCCAAGGTCCCCATTCCTGGCATTGAGTGTCCTAGACAGTACCATGACTGCACAAGGCTGAGCTGCACGCAGGGGCCCCCACCAGGATAGGGCTGGACGCTGGAATCAGCTACTGCCCTTGGGCTCCTTCCTCTCACCATATCCTTCTGATGGGGAAAAAAGCCCTTCCCAGGGTGGGGAAACCTGCCCAGCATACCCAGGCCTCCTGCACTCGCAGCCCTTCACCCCCGGGAGCCATGAGGGATCAGGATGGCTCAGCCCAGCAACTGTGTCCTGGGACGGAGCATCCCTGACACACTGGATCTCGGCATCTGTGTAGCAACAGAAAGGACCAGAAAGTGCTGGGAGGTTGTTATGGAAACAGCCACAAATTGGATCAGTACTTGGCGCAAGGAGCGGTTTGTGTGACTGATGTGGGAGCAGGTGGGTGTGACAGCCGCAGCAGTGCGGGGGGCCCTGTGGTGACACCCCAGTGCCCGCGCCGTGCCCCCGTGCCAGGGCTGGGCTGCACGGCTC